GTCCCAGCCACAGAAGCTATGGATGATAACAGTAGTGAAGCAGCTGGAGTTGCATCACACGCTCCAAACTACAGACACGTGATGATAGACCATCAGGGAAGGGTCTAGGGGGGGTTTCCTAGTTGGGAGAGTTGGGGGGGTCGAGCAAAAAAAACTGCATTTTTTTTGCTCCACCCCTCAGAGGCCCCTCTTTTCCTTCATAGTAAGAGGTCCTTGTTCCTTGCCTACATTGTATGGCACATAATCTTTTCTTTGTTGATTCGCAATTTTTTCAATAGCTAACACAAATAAATATAGGAAAAGTAAAAAAGTCTATATATAAAAAAGTTATTTTATTAAAAGCAATAGCAAATAGCTTTTTAGAAACACTGAAAAACGCACCCCACAGCGTGCCTTTCTGAAAAAACTACAGTCACCGCCAAATGGAATGTTGTTGCGCCAACGGCAAAGAGATAGAATATATCGCGATCACAGGGGGCAATAAAGAGATGGAATAATCAAGGCCAACAACCAGTCAGGAGATGGAGTATTGAGAACGAACCACGTGGCTTTCGGAGCCTACGCCGGTCAATTGTGCCCACGCAGAAAAACCCGCAGCCCCAAACACCCCAAAAAACTCGTGGCTTTTCGCACGTGTTCCATCCAGTCAGACTCTTTTTTTGCAACTATAGTTTTCGCTAGACGCACAGGTGCCAGAGGGCACCAACAAACACACGAAATGCCGATTACACCACGCGGCTTCAAACAAATGTTAAAAACTGTGATGCGGCGAGGCATTGGAACCTCGCAGGCCACTGGGGAGAGCGTGGACGGATCGACCCAGCGCAGGGACGCGCGAGGATGATCTATCGGAGGCACCTGGAAGCTCGCAGGCCACGGGGGAGAGCGTGGACAAAGGAATGTTTGTTGAAATTTGTCGATGTGATGATGGATGTGAAGTCATCTTTAAAGCCAGTGGTGCCAGATATGCTGCCCGAGTAGCCTTGCATTATTAGCACTGTATGCTTCTGCTTGCTCTCCTTTCCTTTCTTTCCCAAGGAACAAGGAAGAGAAAGGGGAAGGAAGAGAACGAGGAAGAGAAAGAGACAGAGGAAGAGGAAGAGCAAGAAACAGAGCAAGAGAGAGAGAGAGAGAGAGAAAGAAAAGAAGAAAGATAGAGAGGAAGAGAAAGTGAAAGGGATAGAGAGAGAGAGAGAGAGAAAGAGAGAAAGAGAGAAAGAGAGAAAAAGAGAAAGAGCCAGAGCAAGAGCAAGCGGACGGGGGAGAAAGACCAAGAGGAAGAGAAAGACAGAGAGGGAGAGAAAGAGAAAAAGGAAGAGAACGAGGAAGCAGCAAAGGAAAAGGAAGAGGACAAGGACCTGCACCTGCCCTGCTTACGCCTGCGCCTGCACCTGCCCTGCTTGCTTACCACCCGGCCCAATGTAAAGCATTCTCTGGGAAGGTAAAAACTAACTTTTTTTGCAAGCCGTTTTTTTGGCAAATGCAACCTATTCTACTTTTAGGGAATTTGCTATGAGTAAAGCCAGGCCCACAGGATGACGAAATCCAAAGGTTAACTGACAAGCGACTCATGCAAGTGCATGTTTCCAGTCCGTGAGCGAGACCAGTGAATCGCTCTCGTGTAGGTAAGCAAGAAAAACCAAAAAGAACGTAAAGCATCCTGTTGTAGTATAGGCAGGCAAGACAAAGGATGAAAACCTCCACTTATAGTGAGTGAGACGAAGGAATCGCTCATAGCGGCAGTGAAAAGGGAAAAGAACCGACAAGAAGTCTGCCGACGAACACTGCCTCCAGTTTACGAGCGAGACTCAAGGCATAAGAATCGCTCTATATATAATGTAAGAAAGCAGGTGCATTCCATGGCCAGTGGATGCTTCCCTCTCTAATGCGTAGCTTCATTGGACAGCATAGCAACAGAGAGCTCTGTCCCCCTGCATTAGGTTTACATAGATTTATATACTGCAAATTAAATGAAAAAGCCACAAGGCTTCCTCTGATTCCGAGGATGATGCACACACACACACACTCACACACACACACACTTGAAAACCTGCACTCTCACAATGCGAAGTCTTTATGTCTCAATCGAACATGAGGTGCTGGAAGTTTGGAACGCCTGGGCAATGATGATGTTTGCTACATTTCCCCCTCACATGTCAAGGAGCCCTGTCTAAAGTTGGTTGCAGGACGTTTTACGGGAGTCTACACGCAAATGAGAGGAAGTGCAGCTGTCACAATCTTCATCTGCCCAATGTGAACGAGTCTCGTGAGAAGTCCGGTGGAGCGAGCCAAGTCAATCAAGGCTGCAACGGTTGGTAAAGCCAAGAGGGCCGAGGAATAGGTAGACAAAAGTGCTAGGGAAGCTACACGGTTTGGCACCGCGATGGCCAGCTCCTGCGCAATCATTCCACCCATACTGATGCCAATAATGTGCACTTTCGTCCAGCCAAGATCATCAAGCACAGCCAAGGCATCTTCCGCCATTCGCTTGGTGGTGTACCTTATTTGGCCTGAAGGATGCCCAGAGTACCCGGTACCGCGGTTGTCCACAGCGCAAACTTGACAAAATGTTTGCAGGTACTCAAATTGAAACTTCCACAAACCATGTGTACCACCTAAGCCCATCAGCAACAGGACTCGAGGTCGGTCATTGAGGTCTTCAGCATGCTCCGGCAACCTCTGATAGTAAATTTGATAGTCGCCATTCGCAGACTGAATATTCACATGAGGCATGGGTGCAGCAAACGCACTTTGGATAAGTATGTGTGGTTGCGCTGCTTGAAGATCTCATGCATGCATCTCTGTGCGTGTGTGTGTGTGTGTGTGTGTGTTCGCCTTGTGCTTCGAATTGTGTTACGGACTGCTCAAGCACTCACAGCTGCCTTGAACAAGCGCAGCCCAAGATTCGACTGTACTTGCAAGCAGTGAAATCAGTCATTGACTCCGTCGTCTGTTGTCAGCGCAACTGTCTCCAAAACCAGAGTCTTTGATCAACAAAATTATACTCACTTATTCTTCAAGCAATGCCTGCGTAGAAGTACATGCATTGCGCAAAAGCTGTGGCGTGAAACCTCTTTGCAGGGGCATTGCTGTTTCTGCTAGTGAGTCGGATGGCGGGGCCCATAGAATTAATATTTTACTGTTTAGTCCCGAACAGGCTGTTCAAGCTACCCCTGTGCTTCGCAAAGCAAACTCAAGGTAGCCCTTGCCAGGCTACCTTTCGTGAGTTGGGCACTCCAAGCTGGGCGAGAACTTCGAGGGCATTCAGTCCCACAATCAAAGGCTTCCAATGGTCTGTGTAAAAGCGTGCCTGCTGTGCTTAAGTGTTGGAGGTCGGGCAGCCGAGCACCAGCAGTGAGGAAGCTTTGAAGAGAAACTTCCGAGTTGCATTATTTATTTTTATATAGCTGAGTGACCAAAAACGCTACCACAAAGCATTACTCAGCTAGCTCATCTAAGTCTTAAAGTAAACGTCTCACTGCTTGATATCGTTTCGTCTTCGAGCTGGGCTGGTCACAAGTGATTTATTTGGCAGCCACTGAGCAACGCAGAGTCTACTCGCAGGGCTGTGAGGTTGGCGTTCAGGGAACTTGCCCTTCCTCAAATGAAGTTAGTGCTCGAAATACCAGGCCGGCTGCCCAAAAGCTGCGGTCATAGGTGATTCCTGTGCTTCGCGCCAGTACAAGTCCACATCGGATGCAACTGACGAAGTGCGCATTGGCAGCTGGCAGAGCTAGACACAAACAAACGAGCAAAGATTTTGAGAGACAAGAATAGGAACATAGATGTAAACAAGTAGGAAGTGACGGAGACATACGGAGAGTAGAACGGGCAAGTAGAGGCCGCTAGAAACAAGTCAAAAGCAAAGAAGCACAAACAACTTCACAGTCAAGGTGTCGGAGATGTCCAGAAGAAAAATCATAGGCTGCCGGTATCTGCTGGTGGCTTTATGGTGGCGTGTGACTTGGAGCTAGCAAAGCGATGTGACGCTGAATGTTCGCTTAAATGTTTTGTCTCTTCACTCTGTAGGCGATATCTCTGCAGTGATTCGGCTGCTGTGACGAGTGATGTGGTGATTGACAGATGATGTGTCCCGTTGCAGAACCTTCTAGGCAACCTGGCTGAACCCAGCAACTCAGGTCAACTGCGCTACTGTATTGCACCAGTAAACGCAGCATCTCAAGCCATCAGCCTCAATCATGTGTTATCTGCGCATTTTTGATGCATTTTTGCCACCTGCTCCCAGATCAGTCTCAAGAAACTAATGATTTGGACTGCTTCACTTTGTGCTTTCCACGGCCGCCCTTGGTGTTGTGGATGAGCTCCTCTAACTTTCGCTTCTTTCCCTCAGCTCTGCGCCGATTCTTTGCTCGGCGACTTGCCGCAGCTGCTTCGGGGTTGGTGACTGGTTGCAAGCGTCGTTTCTGAACACGTTCTTGCCTTGCAGATTTTGCCGGAGTGATCTGGATTGTCACATCTACAAACACAAAGCAAGCAAACAAACCTCACATGCATTGACTATTTGTTGGACGTGTTCATTCCCACATGCATACGGCTTCCTTTTTTTGCTTTGTCTTTTTAAACCTGCCTCCGCTTCTCCACGACCTTCCGAACTTGATTCAGCGTCGAAGTGAACTCCGAGGCTTTCCCAGCTGACGTCATCTTGTCACTCACTTGATCCAGGAAACTTTGAGCCAAATTCGCAAGGAAGCCTCTCTGCTGCGCAGGGCGAAGTGCCAAAGCCTGCTCCAAGGAGACAATGTCTGGCAAAGCCATGCACTTAAATGCTGTAGTGCAGCGATATGCAGGACTCAAAAGTGGGCGGAGCAATTGTGAGAGAACCTGTGCAGGGTCGCCTCAAGCTCTCTGAATACAAGCCCTTAGCCTAAGCATGCCAAGTCCCGTAAAGGGTGATGAACATATGTGATTACATGAAGATGTTGGAAAACAACACTGGCACCAAGCTCCAACCTGTGCCGGAAATTGATCTTCCAAAGCAGTGCAAAGCCGAAACCAAGAAATCAATCGAACAAAGTGCTCTGTAGGATTGGCCTGGAAGCCCTGGGACTGATGCGACCAGCGCACCAGCAACCACCTCACTCGACTGCGCCTCAAGCGGTCTTGGACATCACCGTCTTCCATCTCAAGCGGTGTGGTTTCAACATCTGGCTTTGGGAGATTTGCGGCCACAGCTTCATCATACAAAGAACCCTGGCGCCCTCCATCAGGTTCTGCCAGAGCTTCCTCCGGTTGAGGTGCTTCCAAGCCATCCTCAAGAGTAATCTTCTCAGGTTGGCTTTTCTTTTCATCACCCTCAAGCTCTTCATCACTTCCACCGGCGTGCTCCTCTTCCATCTTCTCATCAACTTCTTCCACCCCTTTCTGCGTAGCGCTTTCCAGCTTTTGCTCATTTGGCCCACTCCCCTTTCTGCCGTCATCCGCAGGCGGAAGCATGCTCTCTTCACCAAGCTGCTCCTTGGCTTCATGCTCATCAGCTGGCAAATCAGACTCATCTTCTTCTTCCATGCCGTCAGCTTGCACAAGGTCTGGCTGCTGCAAAAGAAGCAGCAAAAAATTGCGCAATGCCTTGACAGCAAGTGGGGCAAGGGATGTGTCAACCTCAACTCTCCTTGATGTCACCAGCACCTCCAAAGCTCCCAGCAAACCTTAGCATCTTCAATGTAGGAGATCCAATTGATTTATAAAGAAGGACATGGGCAACTTTGCACAAAACAACCGTTTCAGCTGAATGCAATGATGGCAGCGGTAGGCAGATACATCGCCTTGAAACCATAAGCTCGCCGGACTCTTCAGCCATTTGGCGCTCTGGTCCTCCAAACAACGCAGCGCGACGGCTATAATCCAGGCATGCCTTGTCTCAGCAAAAGCATCTGAGCCAAGCAAATAGTGCCAAAGGTATTTCATGGAGGAAGCGGCATCTCCTTCGGGTCGTGTTGCAAACTTATTCTGAAAACAGCCCGTGCGCCTCCGATGACTAAAACTGTGACAAGCATGCTAGCCTAAGCCAGGTCTCCTTCCAGCAAGGGGTTTAAGACCAAGTGAGGTACGGATGCAAGAATACGCTCAAAGCTCTTGCAAATCGCATAGGATACCTGCCACGGAGCATCTGCTGAAATGGCTTCCTGCAAAAGCTTCACCAAGGCCGACAGCATTAGAGCCAGGGTTGATTCTGAAGCCTCACCAGCTTCCACGAAGAGGCCTAAGCATTCCGCAAGCACACTTGGAGCGGCTGTCCATTTCAGAACCAGGTCCAAAAGCCTTTGACGGCTGGGCGCATTGATCTTGCGCAGCAAAGTCAGGATCAGAACCTCAGCTGACCAACAGGAAGGCTACAAATAAAGCATCAATCCTTCCTCAAACTCAACAGAAACAAGCCTCATGCAGCAACAACGAAACATAGAACCTCCTGCACCTGCACAAATCAAGGTGCATGAATCATCTGATGCGATGTAGCATCAGCCTCGGACGATAATCTGGCAGCTGCAGCAGTGAAAATCAAGCTACCCCAAGTTGTCGAGAGCTGGCTTTCGGGAAAGTGCAGGACCACGAGGTAAAGGCAATTCAAGGCTGCACGCCTGCCCCCGTCCTCTTGGTAGCCAAGGTTTTTCAACAAATGGTTCATGCGTTGCTGAAGGGCTTTGTGCTCATGAGGGTAGTCGAGCATGAAGTCTACAAAGATCTGGGCACACTGCTGAGAGGTCCTTTTGTCTGAACCTGTGATCATGATTCCGCCCACTGTGTCGATGCATTGGTACACTGCAGAGGTGAGAACCCTGTTTCTCAGCAGGACTCTGCGTAGCAGCTGCAAGGCTGCTGATTGGAGAGATGGTGTATCAAGCGCGTTTTGGATATGCGACACCAACGCATCAAAGACAGTACTCTTCTGCAAGGCTTCTCGCACGCCCTCCTTCTTTTCTCTTGGCTTGGCTTGTCGCTTGTCCGTTTTGGGCATTTCCTTCTTGGCCAATGACGGCGCCTCCTCGCCACCAAAGCTTTGAAACCATTCTGCAGAGTCTCGATTGTTGAGGAGGGCCGAGAGCAAACGGGTACTTGTTGCCAGCATCGCATCGGCACCACTTGCTAAGCCGTGCATCTTGGCTTTTGCTCTGAGGTGCTGCGACAGTCTTGGAGCACCAGCCGTAATCTCAAACGTTTTCAAGACAGTTCGAGCTATGGAAACGCCATGGCGGCCAAGAACTTCTGGTTGGCCATCGAAGTAGCCACGAAGCAATCCCAAGCATTTTGCAGATGCAACAAAAAGCCGATCTTGCCGTGAACAAAAGCCTCGACATGATCAACCCGTGGAATAATTGAACTTTCTGGAAAATACATCATAATACATCCAACTCAATCCGGTGCAAGATGGTAGAACCTCTACCATACAACATCCAATTTTGTTGCCCTCAAAGTCTGAGTGCTACACCAAAGCCAAGGAACAAGAAACCACTGCCGGCACGACATCTTCCAAACCTTTGGCCTCTTTGTTGGCTTCCAGTCCTGTCTTGGTGCCTTGCAAAATGTGCCGCAGCAATCGGAGTCCCAGCACACCCAGTGCACCAGCGCGTGCGTGGTCGTCAACACCTTGCTGGGATGCTTGACCTCCAGATTTTCCGCTGGCGGCACCCTCTTGGACCCGGAAAGCACTCCTGACAAAGTCACAAGACTTTGCGTATCAGAAAGTGGAGTTACCCCAAAAAACATCCTGAGGGGTCCTTCAAAGGAGCTACCCCCCACCCTCAGGCGGAGGGA